CAGACTTTTCCCCAGCATGTGGTGACTGTGGGCTGATCACACCACCTGGCCTGGCTGATCCAAGGTGACCTTGAGTTATGTGTATGAGTACTTGAGTCCTGGGATGCTGCGGGTAGGGCTATGTAAGGGGGTAGACGACATCTCTGATCCAATCCCCTGAAGGTGTGATTTCAGAGAGGGTAAGAGGGGGGGTCCACAGGAGACCTTGCAATGTGCAAAGGAAGCTAGCCAGGTCTCCAGAGACTGGCTCCATGGGGTCAGCTGTGGATACTCCGACAAGTTCTTTGACATCTCTGAACTCCTGCCCCTAGGGGGCACTGCCACCAACCCTGCAGGTCATCAGGAGGATTAAATGCTTCAGGCTCAGGGCTGCCACCATCACCAGTGACATTATGGATGGCTAGGTAACTTGTGGGGTTGGGACAGTGGGGCACCCTCAGGCAAAGGCCACAGTTGGTCCTGGCTGGCCCTAGAGTCTGCATGACCCAGCACTTTGACGCCTCCGCATAGCAGATGTGTAGTGAAGAGTGAGTCAGTAAGCTCTAGCCACTGTCATCAGGAACTCTGGAGCTGGTGTGCCCAGGGCAGCCAGCCCTGCCCAGGTGACCCCTGGGTCCCTGTGGGCCTGGAGCGCTGCGGCTGTTGTGCCACGTGGGAGCATGCTCTTCCCAGTCATGCTGCGCTCTGCCCACTCAGGAAACTACCCGGTCCCTGCCTCCTGTCCTTGAGCTGTGCTGCCAGGCTCCCAAGAGGGAAGGACGCAAGACCAAGGGCCCCTGCAGGGCAGCCTCAGAGCTGTCCAGGGTCCTGGTCCAGCCCCTCTGCTCCTCTCTTGGTGGCAAGCCCTGGCTGAGCCTTGGTGGATGCTCCCAGCCAGTAACTCTACACTGTGTGTGCTGGGCGCTGCCCAGGCATGGGCGAGGTGCGTGGCCACGGGAGTTCCGTCCATCTTTTCCAAGACCTTCCCGTGGTAGCAGGTCCAGAGGAAGGCCTCTTCCCAGATGCTGCCCAGCTGTGGGCAGCACAGTGGGGGTGGACTGAGCTTGCTACTCTCTCAAGAAAATGAGGCTGCCTCTTAAGGCCCATTACAGAACATGCCAGTCCCTGGCATGCTGGCCTGAGCCCGTGCACTGACCTGTCCCCCACTCTCTCCCAGCTCTCCCCCATTCCTGCCCGTGTTTGGGGTGGCTGCATCTGTATCATCTCCTGGGACATGCTGGTGTCACTCCATTCGCCTCTGCAATCAGCCCTCGCACAGGCAGGGCACAGAGAAGCCTGTGGACCCAGCTACTGTTTAACACGGTCCAACTGACACAGCAAACCGCGCACATGTCAAGGTGCGGATTCTGACATCTTCAGACCTCTGAGCCCTTCCCCACAGGGACTCAAGACCCCAGGACTCCAGGTCCAAAGTCAGGGCAGGAAGGGGCCAGTGCAGGAGCAGAAGGAGTGGGCCAAGTGGAAGACAGGATGTGGGGCTGGGAAGAGCGAGCGCCACAGGCCCTGGAGTGGCAGAGAGACCACGGAACAGAGGAGTGACCCTTGGCCCTGTGGGATGTGCAGGGCCTCAGGAGATGGGCTCTGTCTGTGAGCGGGAGTCTCAGGGACAGGAAGGACACAGTCAAGTGCCTGTGTTCTAGTCCCCATATCTGGCGGTCCCCACTGGCCTCTGTTGCCCTCCCTGTCCACCCGAGGGCCTGGGGGCACAGCTCATGCCACTTCCCACCAGCACCCTCTCATGGGATGAGGTGTGGGGAGGTGCTGATGCCTGGAGAGGCTGCCTCTCTCCCTGTTCTGGGTGTGGGGGTTTCTTGTCCTCTCTCGCTGGCCCCCTGCTCCTGTCTGCCAAGGCACCCCCACTTCTGAGGCTGGTAGTAGCTTCCCCTGCAGCCCCACAGGAGTCCCAGAGCTCTCCAGGCCAGAGAGGCCACCCAGGAGCTGGAGGAGCTGGGTTCCAGTCCTGGATCTGGGAGCTCAATTTTCCTACCTGTAGAACAGGAAGTTGGCTTCCAGAGCCCTTCCTGTTCTCACAGAGCTGGTGCTCTGTGAGAGGCCAGCTATGTAAAAGACAAAGAAAGCAAAGCTTGGAGAGACTCACTCGCCTGCTCGCCCGCTCGCCAGGACTGGACTTAACTGAGGGTCAGCTGGGCCCTAAAAGCCCACCCTTTCTCCAAAAGACTGAGATTCTTAGCTGCGTTGTTGCCTGGAGACGGACCACACCTCGACTCCAGCTGGTCCTGTACACATCTGCTCTGGAGTCCCTGGCTATAGTGTCTTCACGATGCTGAGGCTCAACCTTCCTGCCTCTGCCAGTATGGGCCATGAGGAAGGGCTGGGAGACCCCAAGTCAGCTGAGCAGAGGCCTGGGTCCCCCACAGGGGTCCTAGTCTCAGAGGAGAGGCTGCGCTGGCCTTGAGAGCAGCCAGAGAGGTGGCTGTGGTGAGAACTGGAGTGTTCCTGTGTGTGTCCACGAGGGGACACGGGCTCACCTGTGTTGGTGAGCACCCCAGCCACACTGCCCGCCTTCGCCTGGGCACACCAACACTGGGCACAAAACACCTTTCTGGGTGACACCTGACTGGTTTTGCCTATGTGGGGAGGAAAGAAGATGTGTGCCCACGTGCTTACCGACCAGAAGGACTACAGGGAAAGACTGGAAGCTCAGAGTGGCTGAGGAACCCAGCTAGTACCAGGAGGCCACCTGGACTCAGCTGGGAGGGAGGCCCCACCTGGCCTGAGGGCCGACACTTCTGGGCGCTCCTGGTCTGCAGGCGGGGAGCCGTCTCCACCCACCATGCGCCTGGTTAACAGTTCAGCATTCATCAAAAGACGCTGCACACAATTCACAGTGGCCAAACTTGGAGTCAGCCTAGGTGTCCGTCAACAGGTGAACAGATAGAGAGAATGTTGTAGATGTACACAACGGAGCTTAATCAGCCATAAAGAAGAACAAAACCATGTCCTGGCAGGAAGATGGATGGAACCATTATGTTAAGTGAAATACGTCAAACTCCGAATGTCAGGGGTCTGATGTTTTCTCTCAAACGTGAAAGCTAGAGAGAAAAAAGGAATAGGAAGGTGTGGGGAGGGGGATGTCATGAAAATCAGAGGGAAATGGCTGGAGGAGAGGGAGCAAGGGTGGGAGGTGGGGAGTGCTGGGGAGGGCTGAATCATATTGCTATATTGTGTGCATGCACAAATGTGTAACAATGATCCCATCAATACGTATGATAAAAAATGTGAGAGAGGGAGAGGAAAAAAGATGGCACTGCACAGGTTGGGAGGGCCTTGGCTGCGTGGAGGAAGTCTGCCATCACACAGGGGCTGCGAGTTGCTTAACAGCCACATTCACAGAAGACATAAAGACAGATGCTGTGCAAATGGCAGGTATTTGGAGGGGCCCAGAGTCATGGGTGGTTCTGTGCTGGAGAGAAGCAGATTTGGGGTGATCCAGAGGCTGGAGGCACATCCTTCTGGACCCCCATCGTCCACCCTGGAAGGCCAGGTGCAGTGGAGGGGTTGCCTGCTGTGGTCGGGGCTCACTGCTAGGGCAGGAATTGAGAAGCTGCAGGACAAATGGCAGCTGTAGCAGATGGGCCTGGTCCTAGAATGAGCTGAGCTATTTCCAGAGCGCTAAGAGCTGGGCCTGATTTAAACTTCCTCCTCTCCCCACTCTAGAAATAATTAAGGGGTAAGTGGCTCGAGAGGGAATTGAGCGGTCCTTCTGAAGCAGCTTAGAGCAAACAGCCCCCCAGAGAGCTGGGCCACCTCCTGCTCTCCTCCCCGCAAGCCTGGCCAATCCTTGTAGCTCCATTCACCTCCTCCCTGGTGGGAGCTGGGTCTCTAGACTCTGCTGGGGGCTCATAATACCCCCGACCCAGGTAAACCCAGGGATGGGAGGTCCAAGCCTTGCCAGCAGCAGCGCCCCTCTGCCCGACAGCTCACGTGATGAGGTGACCAGGTGACTGTGCAGCAAGAAGCTGGCCCAAGGCAGAGACCAGAGGCCCCAGTGTGCCCAGAGGAGCCAGAGACAGGCCAAGCAGGTTCCTAATCAGTGGGAGGCCCTAAGGCCCTCAGCTTGAAGGAAAACAGACAGGTTGGGCAGAGGCCACACTGGACCATGCAGGAGGCTGGCTGGAGAGCTGGACTGGGAGACCCTGCGGAGCGAAGACCCCAGCCAGGACCCCAGTGGGTGGGGTCACGGGGGGGGTCTGGTGTTAGGGCCAGAGCAGCCAGGATCCTGGGTTCCAGGCTGGGCAGGCACTGAGGAGGGAGCAGCCATGTCTCCTGGGAATGGGTGAGAGCTGCTGGCTCCTCACGAACCTCACACTCACGTGAGACTGTGAACCAGGCACGTGTCCCACAGTGCTGCTTAAGTGGCAGCAACCATAGTAATGTGGGGGTCCGAGAGCTAGGAGACAGGCTGCGTGCTTCTGGGTAAGTCACTGAACCTCTCTGACCTCAAAAGTACCTGACTTTTAAATGGGGTGCTATAGACTGAATGTTGTGTCCCCTGAAGATTCCCACAGTGAAGTTCTAACCCCTAGTACGATGGTCTCCGGAGAAGGGGCCTTTCAGAGGCCGTTAGGGCTCATGAGGTCATGAGCTCAGAGCCCGGGATGGGCTCAGCACACTCACAGACTCACGAGAAGAAGAAAAGATACCAGAATGTTCTTTCCCACTCCTTCTCCCCGCCCCTCTTCCTCTGCCATGCCAGGACACAGGGGGAGGGTACATGTGTGCAAACTAGGAGGAGAACTCTCCCCAGAAATGGACCTACCAGACCTGGAGCCAGGCCAACCAGTGCCTGATGCTCAAGCCCCAGGCCGGGTACTTGGTGGCTGCCGTCTGAGCTAAGACCTGGGCTCAGAGTTAGTCCTGAGAGAACAGTGCTGGCCAAAGACTCTGGTGCCACATAGTGTGCCTGGATGCCCAGCATCATGCTTGGAAGCCAGAAATCCAGTCCAGGCCCGCGGTTGTCTGCACTGGCCCCGACCCACCTGTATCATGTAGAGCTGGGCGATGCGGTACTCCTCCACGGTCATCGGCAGAGGGATCCGATATTCCTTTATAATCATCTTGGAGTCCCAGCCTTCCCGACGATGGGGAACTGCGAGTTAGGACTTCTAGACGAGGCTCCTTAATTTACCATGACAGAATGCACCAAGGGCCCCTGAGAGAAAGAGAGAGGATAGGATAGTCACTTTCTGCAAAGGCTGGTGAATGCCACAGCACAGAGGAAAGCCTGGTCTAGACCCAGGCCAGAATTCCAGTGTCCACCCCAGCCTGGGCCAGCAGGGTGACCCGAGTGAATTCCTCGCCTCCTCAGCCTCCCTGTTCCTTGTCTGCTCAGCAATCTTCAGAGCTGGGAGGACGGAGGCTGTGTGTCCGCTCTGATCAACCAATAGTCCCGGGAGGGAAGGACAGCTTCCGAGGGCCAGGCAGAGGGCACAGCTCCCTCGGGGTCCTGACAGACCTCAGCCCGGGTCCCCAGTCCCTGTGGGTGGCCCTTGTGATGTGGCAAATGGAGACGGCCCATTGTGGGAAAGAAGCCGAATAAACAAAAGGATGAAAAACAGACGTGAGGAATTGAAAGTCAGCAGGCCAGCCCTTCTGTGTGGGAGCAGCCGGTCCTGCTCCTGTCACCAGGGGCAACAGAGTCACTGAGTCCGGGCAGAAGACGGGATCTGAAGTTTGGTTTCAGTTCAATGCAAGCAATCACATTAGGAAGCCATCCTCTGTGAGCCAGGCCCGGACCCGCAGCCTTCGCTGAAAACGTCATTTCATGACCGCCTGAGGTCCCACAAAGCCATTGATGGGAGCTGAGTGAAGGCTTCTGAGATGGGGTTTGGCAGAACTAGGAGGGCATTTCAGAAAGGCCACTCCAGGGTGGCAGCTGGGGCAGGGCACCAGCTAAGTGGAGAGAGCCGGCCACTCGGGCAACCTCCCCAGGGCACCATCTGCACGGAGCACATGGCACCAGCGGGGCATTAAAGCATTAGGGACCTCAGCAAGATGGAGAAGTATGTTTACCAGAATATTGGAAGATAGGCACAGAGGACTGAAGGAAGCCTTTAATATGGCCTTCAGGGAGAGAGGCGGGGCAGGGGGACACCAAACAAATGGGTCAGAGATGGCCCCTGTTAGCCCCAACGACCCCATACTGCTTACTTCATAGCAGATAGGAACACGGCCCAAAGCCCACTGGGACCCCAGCTCCAGTTCCCACATCCGACGGCTTTAAATAGTCAGAATACACGCTCTCTTAGCCGATTGGAACCTGTCTACTTTATACACCCAGGAGCTTGCACCTCTGTCGGCCATAGAGAAGACAAACCCTGGAGCCAGGTAGGATCCTGGCGGGGTCCCCCTGAGAGCCCTGTGACTACAGACTCCCCCACTGGACACACCTTGATCCACCTGGACACACAGGCACCCCCTGACGCCCCCCCCCCCCCGGAGCTCCACTCCTGCCCTGGGGCGGAGGGACTTCCTGTCTCCAGCCGACTGCCCACGTATCTATTCCCTGGACACTCTCTAGGCGTCCTGTCTGTTCCCAGGGCAGCCTTGGGTCTCACCTCACCACCCAGGGCAAGAGCTGTGCTCAGGTGAAAGAGGCCACTGGGGCTCTTTCCTTCAGGGTCTGGATGACAGGGACAAGGGGCAGATTTGGGGCCCAAGTAAAGAAAGCTGAGGCTGAGGGCTGCCCCCCAGGATTTCCCAGGCGGGCTGCATGCTCTGCTCAAGTGTGGCTGGACACGAGGCCACAGGACAGAGAAGGAATGTCCCTATAACCTCCAGGCCGCACCTCATCCCACAGTAAGGTGTGAAACAGAAGCCCTGCTCAGCCAAAGCAGCAAGAAATCTGACACCTGGATGAACTTCCAACTAGCCAAGAGGATGGCTCAGACCCCTGATTAGGGACAGTTCCTTGCACACACCAAGGAGAGAGCGCCCAATGCTTGGGAGAAGGAGCTGGATGAAATGAGGCAGTACAGGAGAGGGATGCTGAGGTTCCATGGGGCTGCTCCAGGGCTTTTCTGTGTGAGGCTCTTCACTGAAGCCTAAGGTTGGCTGACCTGGGTGAGCAGAGAAGAGCCACATGGTACCTACACGTACGCAGTGTGCGGGCCTCAGGCGTGATCCCCATGTCCTAGGGTGGATGCCATCATCCTGAGTGACTCTGACTCAGTCCCATTCTATCCCCGAGTAAGAGGTCAGACACACTCTCTAGGTGTCCTTCAGAAACCCCAAGTCTCCGCCTCTGCACTCCTGGGGTCTCCCTGGTGAATGACCTGTCCATGTGCACGCACACCCAAATCGGATCACCCCAGCCCTGGCTCTGGGCCCCCCAATGCTGCTGCAGCGCTGGGTTGGGTGGTGCAGGACCCTGCACTGGGCCCTGCACCCTCCTTAAAGACCTCCATTCCCTCAAGCAAAAGCAGGGATGACATCTCAGAGCCTGGGTCAGCAGCTGGCACTGGCTCGGGTCTCAGGCTTCAGAGGCTCCTTGAGCATGGTCTAGACCAGGCCCATAAGGACACTCTCCAAAGATGAGCTGCCAGGTGAGCTGTGGCCACACAGATGGCGGCCACATCTTCATGTGCAGGCCCAGCCTGGCGGCAGAGGCCCACGGCAGCCCATCACCCTGTGGAGCTGGGCTGGCGGCAAAGCTTAGGGCTGCCCAGGGAGTGGCCAGACAACCGTTCTGAGGACCACCAGGCAACGGGAACGCGGAGGCTGCAATTCTGTCTGAGGCTGGGCTAGAGAAAAGGGACTGTGCTCTGCCCACGAGGCATTAAGGAGCCTCAGAGATTAGCGGGTCGGTCGTGTGGTGCTTAGCTGGGACCGTGTCACAACATCTGCTCCTTCCTCTATCCTAGAGCACTCAGCTTCAACAGCCATGCGACTGTGACAGAGGTCACAGTGTGGGGTCCTCTCTGGGATCCAGCTGTAAAGCCGGACAGTGCCTCTACTAGCCATGTGGCCTCCCAGGACAGGTCACTGGGCCTGTGTTGCTCCCCAAGCAAAGTGGGGCTGAGACCAGCCAGCTTCCATGACTACCACGAGTGTCATCAGAATAAGGGAGGGCAGGAGGGCTCCCAGGCGCTGGGAGACTTGGGAAAGCCTTTGTGAAGGTGGAGCTGGGCCAGGAGGTTATTTCAGAAAGGCCAGAGTGGGCCTGTGTGGGTTCATGTAGGGGCACAGGCTCATAGATGTTGGTAAGCACCCCAACCACACTGCCCAGCCTTCCCCTGGGCACGCCAACACTGGGCATGAAACACCTTTCTGAGTGACGCCTGACTGGTTTTGCCTATGTGGGGAGGAAAGCAGTTGTAAGGAGGACATGCTGCAGCTGAAGAAAGCACAAGCAAAGGCCCTGCGGCCAGCATGAGCTGCTTCATCAGAGCATTCTCCTATCAGTACGTACTTAGCACAGCCATGTCAAATCCCAGGGAGACAGAGGCAGCCAGGCCCACCCTTAAGCCCATGAAAGTCAGTGTCAAGACCATCACAGACTTCTGGAGTGTCCCCCCTCTGAGAGAAAGACACACACTAGACAAGACATGACACTGAGTGTCAGGATATGTGTTTCAACACAGAAGCCAAGGCCATCCTGCACAGAAAGCCCTGGAAGGCCATGTTCACCCCATGCCCAGCTGGGCTGCTCCTTGGGAAGGCTGCAAGCTCGGTGCCCTCTTAGGATGCCTCTGGAAGAGGAGCGGATCCTGGGGAATGAGCTTGGAGCTTTCTGGGTGCTGGCCACCTGGGAGTCCTTTCTAGGGCCTCACTCTAAGGGCACCAATGTCCCGACTGGTCCAGCGCTGGCCTTTCCTTACACAGAGCGTGGGCCTGCTTCCCCCCAGCTGCGCCACACTAGTGCACCTGGCATCCTGCTAGAGATGGCCTGAGAGAGGGTCTCAGTTCCACTGTCCTCCCTGCAAACATGGAGGGACTTCTCAAGGCAGAGTAGTCACTTGGCTGAGAGAGCAGGGAAACTGCTACATCCCTAGCCCCAGACTGTGAGGGCCGCCGGCCAGGTCCAGTAACATCTGAGCTGGGAGGAGGAAACAACCTGAGGGCTATCACACTCCACCTTGGACCCCAACAGATACCCCTCTCAAAGTCACAGCCACGGCTCTCGCATTCGAATGACAAGATCTAGGCAGGGGTGCATCCTGGGAGGGGTAAGGAATTGTCCTGTTTTTTGTTGTTGTTGTTGTTTGTTTTCTGGCTTTTTACTTTTTGGGGTGGGGGGTCCTGGGGATTGAGGTCAGGGGCACTCGACCACTGAGCCCCAGCCCCAGCCCTGTTTTGTATTTTATTTAGAGACAGGGTCTCACTGAGTTGCTAGTGCCTCGTTTTTGCTGAGGCTGGCTTTGAACTTGCAATCCTCCTGTCTCTGCCTCCCTAGCTGCTGGGATGACATGTGTGTGCTGTCGCACTGACTGCTTTTTACTTTATTTTGAAATATTACACACATACAAAAATGTTCACATACCATCAGTCATAATTAGGAATTTTCAATGATTAAACTCATTTATACGACCAGCACCCACATCAAGGGATAGAAAATTGGGGCTGGGGTGCAGGTCGGGGCAGAGCACTTGGCCAGCACGTGCCTGGCCCTGAGTTCCATCCCCAGCAATGCAAAACCACACAATAAACCATACAGCCCCAGCAGCCCCCATGTCTCTCTGGCCACGTCCCCCAGCCATGGGCAGTCCTGCCGTTCATCTGGTTGTGTGCCTTATATTAGGTTGAAGCCTATGAATTGCCAACATTCACTTGCCTCTGACCTACAGGACCAGCAACTTCACATGGAATCACACAGTGTGGCTTCTTTTGTGATTGACATGATGTTCCTTCCAAGTTATTGGTCCTGGGGACTGAACTCAGGGGTGCTCTACTACTGAGCCACATCCCCACTCCTTTTTATTTTTTGAGATAAGGTCTTACTAAGTTACTGAGGCTGGCCTTGAACTTTCGATCCTCCTGACTCAACCTTCAAGTCACTGGGATTACAGGTGGGCACTACTGTGCCTGGCCAACTATTATACCTTGATGGGCATTTGGGTGATTTCTGGTTTGGACTGGTGTGAACAGTGCTGCTGCGGATTACTGAGTTCACGGAGAGGTGTGACATCTCACTATGGAATGGAAGAGGTGTGA